TGGGGTTATTTGATGATGCATGGGGGGGGATTTTAATCATTGCAATGAAACGAAATATGATAGGATGAGGGTAAAGTTGATGTTCTCCCATGTAAACCTCACAATGAAACTTAAAAAAAAAAAGTATCACCTGGGTTTCTTGTTAAAAGGTAGATTCTGATTAAGTTTATCTGTGGTGGAAATGCAAATTCTAAGCTGGGGGTTAAACTGGAATGAACCTATTGGAAGTTATAGAATTCAATTCCATACAATTGTAGGACTGATGGTCCTGTTTCCTTGCTGGCTGTAGGCCAGGGTTAGTTCTCAGCACCAAGAGGCCAACCTTAGGCACTAGCGCTGTGGCTCTCTCTCAACATGGCAGCTTACTGTCTCAGAACAAGCTGTCAGCTATGATAAAGTCCTGTGTAACATAATCATGAGAATAACGATCCCATCCTGTTCACAGGTCCCATCCACAGTCAAGGGAAGGGAATTATACTGGTCATGTACACCGGGGGCCAAGAATTTTTGAGGCCATTGTAGAATTCTGTCTACCACAGTCCCTTTCTCCATCTTACCTAATGTCCAATTTCTAGTTCTATGGCTCTTACTAACATATACAACTCATTTTATTACAATCAAGGATGACCTCCCATTTCAAGATCCTTAATCACATCTGCAAAGACCCTTTTGTCATATAAGATAACATATTCACAAGTTTAGCACATGGACATCTTTCAGGACCATTAATATGCAAAGCACAGGGGACTCTTAACTTTACTTCTAATAGAATTTTTCTTTATTTATATTATCCTCTGTAACTGCTGCCCAGAAATGCTCTCTGAGAGCTATCATTCAGTTTTCATGAACAGATTTTAATCTGATTTTTAGGAATGTTGGCAAGATCAGCTCTTATGTTTTTCAGTTTATTCTATCATAGAACTTTGAAGAAGTTCTTTAGATGGTGTGATCTGATTCCTATGACATTTCCAGGGATGATATTTATAAACAGTTGCATTTTGTTCTGCTTTTTCAGGCAAATATTTATGTAGAAAGACTTTAAATCAGAAAAGTACTTATTCCAAGTAAAATTTCTTTGCATTGATTGATTTAGAAATTATAAATTGCTTTTCTTGCTTTATAATCCTTACTAGACTTTTAATTTTTCAAAAAAGATTACTGAATTAAATCATTCTAATCTCAAATATCTGATGATTTAGCAGCAATAACAACAGCTACCAAAAGCACAAAAGACACTTGCCCTGAAATCTGAGCATTTAGGATACTGTATCTAGAGGATTTTTAGACGAAATCTTTGTATTATTACGTTCTGTCTATCTTAGTTTTGGATATAACACTTTCTTTTATTGACACCCCGCCCCCCAAAAAATCTTTATAATTAAAAGAAGTTTTCTGTATATGTGTGTGTTTTTCATTTACAGCTTAAGAAATGTATAAAAACACCAGAAATCCCTTCTAAACATGTTAGAAACTGGGTCCCTAAAGTCTTGGAACAACGACGACAAGGTTTGGAAACATATTTACAGGTAAGATGTATTTAGAGCCTCAGTTTAGTTTAATGTAGTTCAAATAATCAGTTGTTTCAGGGTTTTTTTTTCTCAGAACTTTCGGATGCTATAGAAAATATATCAAGTGGCCCAACATCGCAGCTTCAAATGGAGGAATTTAACAATTATAATAAATACATTGCATGTTGGTTATTTTAGCTTTAATTGTTTAAGTTCATTTAATTCTAATTAATTTTAATTTAAAATAAATTATATGAATTAGGGAAGTGAAATTTTAGTTTAAGAGTAAAAGGTGATAGAGAGATGATTTGTTCTTTTTTAAAATTCAGTTCTAAAAGTTACATTCTTCCCCTAAAGAATTTGTTGCTTCTTCATGGCAATGCCAGGTATTGAGTGGATGGAAGAACCTGGGAATAACAGTGGTCTTGGCTAGTATATTTATAGAATCAAAGTAAGGGTGAATATGTAAAAATTCATCATGATGAAATGACAAGTATTTTGAAAATTTTTGCTGTTGTTAAGTGCCTTTGAGTTGGTTCTGAATCATAGCAACCCTGTATAGGATTTCCAAGGCTTTTGTAAAACTCTTAGTGGGAGCAGAAAGCCTCATCTTTGTCCAATGGAGTGATTGGCATGCTTGAACAGCAGACCTTGTGGTTCACAGTCCAGTGTTTATTTTGAAAATGAGAATGTATATTGAGAAAATAGGATTATATATTTAAAAACACACACTAGGATGCTCTTTTCTGCAAGCAGAACTACCTCTAAGTAAGACAAAGACCCTTTCTTTGTCAAGAGTTAAAAAAAGCAAAAGGAAAGGGTAGAATGAGAAGATCTAGAGAAATCAAGGTGACAGTTTTGTTGTTGCTGTTAAGTGCCGTTGAGTCAGTTCTGATCCATAGCGACCATGTATTAGGGTTTCTGAGGAGCAGCTGGTGAGCTTGAACCGCCAACCTTGCAGTTCAAATGGCTTTGCAGTCTGGCTCATTAATCCACAGCGCCACACCAGCACTCTGGAATTTTTTTTTGGTTGTTGTTTTTAAGTTATTGAATCGGTTCCGACCCATAGCGACCCTGAACAGGATTTCCGAGGCTGTAAATCTTTACGGGAGCAGAAAGCCTCATCTTTTTCCCACAGAGCAGCTGGTAGTTTCAAACTGCTGACATTGCGGTTCGCAGCCCGATTTGTAACCTCTACACTACTAGAGCTCCTTTTTTTGTTTTGTTGTTGTTGTTAAGTGCCGTCGAGTTGGTTCCGACCCATAGCGACCCTGAACAGGGTTTCCGAGGGTGTAAATCTTTACGGGAGCAGAAAGCCTCCTCTTTCTCCCGCGGAGCATAGTCATCATGAAATTCAAAGAGCATGGTATAAGGCAAGGTCTGAGCCAGGGCAAGCCTGTGTTCAGCCAGTACACCCGGGCTCCAGAACCCCATCTGAGAGGCAGAAGGATGGGAATGAATGAGGTGAGCTTGACCAGGATTTGGGAAGATCTTGGTTCTCAGAAAAATGGAGCTGGACTTCACCAAAGAGTTGTAAACTTACCATGATGATCTGGCCTGACTGTGTTCTTTGTTATCTTCACTTGCTTTTTAGATATTAACCCTAATGTGAATTCTGGTTAGGAGGGGAATTGTGGGAAGTACAAAGGAAATATGCTATATCCTCTACAGACATTTTCTGTATTTCTGTTTTGTTCCTGAATCCATAATTTTTAGAAGCTAAGGAAAGACTGGCTTCCACAGATTTATATTTAGTGACACATTCAAAGAACCCTCCCTGTAGAAAGATACTAAGAGTCTGTTGTTCCTGGCCTCCTGTAATTTTCCTGGTCTTCACAGTGCTGGGTAGGAAAGCCAACATGCTAGAGGGCCCTCAGCATCTGTGCTGAGAGAAGAGAACTCGCTTTAATGTGTTTGCTCTTCTGCTTTGGGCAGGATGAGAGTATCCTTTACTGCCTTTCCATGGGGATGGGAGCTGACAGGAAATGGGAATCAAAAATCACAGGAATGTGCGTGGCCTCATTTCTTGTACCTCTGTATGTGGAGATTTCCATTACTTTGGGCAACATTGCCGAGAAATTTTGAAAAAATAAAATAATGAGACTTTAGAAATTGTGTGCAAAGGGTAAAAATACAAGCTCTTTATAATTACACAGAATAGGTAAACAAATGCATTCTTATTTGTAAGCCAAATTTCCGCAGAAATTGTGTATCTTCAAGCTTTAGTTTTGGAGAAAGCTTTACTCCCCGCTCCACCCACACATACTGTATTTGACATATGACTTCCATTACTACTCTGTGTAAACATGGTAAGTTGTTTGTACATTGGATATAAATATGTGGATAAAATCATCTGGCACCGAGAGGAGTTTACAGTGACACTCAAATTGAGCTTAGAAATTTTTATTCTGAGAAATAGGGCTTGAAAGAAGTGGTTGAAAGATGAGAGGGTTTACTTCTTGTTGTTCATTTGATGTTCAATTTGTTGTCACTTTGGTACTCAAGGAAATCAAGAGCGCTTTTTTTCTTTTCTTTCTTTTTTTTTCCCCCCACCTAATTCTATTTGCAGGAGTAGTGGTTACGAATCAGGCTGCTAATCTCACGGTCAGCAGTTCACAACTACCAGCTGTTCTGCGGGAGAAAGATGAGGCTTTCTGCTCCCATAAAGATTTACAGGCTTGGAAACCCTGTACAGGGTCAATATGAGTCAGAACCGACTCCACGGCACATAACAACAACAACAACCAAATCACTTAGTGGGAATTAAGAAGGCTGGGTAGAAAAGCCATATCAAGGAAATTCAAAGTACCATAAACACTCATGGAAGCAGCAGTCAGGAAATCAAATGACATACTGCATTATGTAAATCTGCTGCACAAAACCTCTTTAAAGTGTTAAAGAGCAAAGGTATCAGTTTGAGGACTAAAGTGCATCTGACCCAAGCCATGGTATTTTCTTTAGCCTCATATGCGTGTGAAAGTTGGGCAGTGAGTAAGGAAGACGGCAAAAGAATTGATACATTTGAGTGAGGTGTTGGAGAAGAATTTTAAAGGTACTGTTGTTGTTAAGTGACACTGAGTCGATACCAACCCAGAGCAACCCTGTATAGGGTTTCCAAGTGGCTGGTGGGTTTGAACCGCCAACCTTGCAGTTCAAAGTGACCTTGCTGTCCAGGGCATTAACCTGCAGTGCCACACCAGGACTCCAAAGGACTGCCAGAAAAACAAACAAATTTGTGTTGGAAGAAGTACAACTAGTATGCTCCTTAGAAGCCAAGATAATCAGACTTCATCTTTCATACTTCAGGCATAGTCAGGAGGGACCAGGCCCTGGAGAAGGACATCATGCTTAGTAAAGTAGAGGGCCAGCATGAAAGAGGGAGACTTCAAATGAGATGGATTGGTACAATGTCAGCAGCAGTAAACTCAAGCATAGCAGCAATTGAGAGGATGGTGCAGGACTAGGAGGTATTTCGTTCTGGTGTACACAGAGTTGCTGTGGGTTGTAAATGATTCACTGGCACCTAACAACAAAAACTCTATATGGGAGCAGAACGCCTCGTCTTTTTTGCACAGAAGAACTGATAGGTTCAAACAGCTGACCTTGTAGTTAACAGGCCATGGTGTAACCCACCACACCACTAGGGCTTCTTTCAAGATACTGTGAGGACCTTAAAATGTTGGGTTTTTTACTATAATTCTCCCAAGATATATTCTGTATTTGACTTGTATCTAATTGTTTCTTAACACCAAAAATGAGATATATTACTGTTTTATACACTTAATGTTTATTTAAAGTTAATGACATGTTTTTTACAACTGTGCTCAAAATTTCTGCTTGCTAAATTCCTACCTGGGATCATTTTTTTCTTCTGCTTGAATTCTATTTATTAGAATTTCTTTTAGTGAGGGTCTGTTGATGGTAGATGTTCTCAGATTTATCTTAACTTTGTTATTAAAGGTAATTTTGCTAATCATCACAATGCCTTTTTAAAATATAATTCTCCACCTTTCTGACTTACTTTATTGGTGTCAGTTTTTTTTATTTTTGAAGGTAATTATTTCTCACTTTCTGGTTCTTTAGGATTTTATTTTGATCTTTAGTGGCCTTTAGTTTTATAGTGTAGTGGTTACAAGTCAGCTGCTAATCTCACAGTCAGCAGTTGGAAACTACCAGCAGTTCCATGGGTGAAAGATGAGGCTATCTGCTCCCATAAAGATTTACAGCCTCAGAAACCCTATACAGGATCGCTATGGGTTGGAAATGACTCAACGGCACTTAACAGCAACAATATAGGAGTCCTCGTGGGATGCTGTAGGAGAAGCCCTGAGCTGCTGACCAAAAGGTCAAACTTACTAGGCACTCCTTGGAAACCCACTATAAGGTGACTATGAGTCAGAAATGATTCAGTGGCATTTAACAATAACATCTAGGTATACAATTATTTTTATTCATATCTATTATATGTGTGCTCCCTAAATCTGAATGAAAAATATAGAAGTTTTCCACATTTCTGAACAATTCTTAGGTATTATACTTTTGAGTGCTACCTCTTCCTCTTTAGAAGCAAGGATGGTGAGACTTTAACTCACATATTTTGGGCATGTTATCAGGAGGGATCAGTCACTGGAGAAGGACATCCTGTTTGGTTAGGGAGAGGATTAGCAAAAAAAAAAGGAAGACCCTAAAATGAGATGGATTGGCACCGTGGCAGTAAGAGTGGGCTCAAACTTAGGAGTACTGTGTTCAGTGTATGTAGGGTTACTATGGAAGTAAACCTGGAGCACCTAATAACAACCACACCTCTTCCTCTTCTTTTACTGTTTTTTCTTTGGAGTCTGGTAGTTGTAATCGCTGATGTCTTCATACATCTAAGTTGATTATCCATTGTTTTACTGGCTCTTGCTCATGGTGCTTTATTTCCTTATCATGATGCTGTGTGTATGTTCATGCTCCTTGGACCTTTATCTCTGGAATTCTACAGGTTTACTCTGAGCCAGATCAGCTTGACAGCAGTG